TTTTGTTTGGTGTTTTTTTTTTTTCTTCTCGTTTTTGGTTGTTTCTAACGCCCCTCCCCCGCCAAGCCCCATCCACCGGGCTTTGCTGAGTATTTATTGTCCGCCGCGCAGCCATCGCAACGAAAATCATCCTGCGGGTTGTCTGGGTTTTTAATATAATTTACTAAAAAGCTTCAGCGGGGCCGTCCCGCACGTCCTGCGCTACCACGGCCGCCACCGCCAGTTCTACCTGGCCACCGCCGTCGGGCGCAGCTTCCACACCTACAACGTGAGTACGCGGCCCGACACCCTCCCTCCCTCCCTCCGCCTGACCCCCCCCGCCGCCGGGCCGCTGTTGGGCCTTGTGGAGGCCGGGGTCGCCGCTTTTGGTTCCACGCCCCGCACCGCCTGGTCAGGGTGAGGCGGGATGCCGTGAGGAGGGCCGCGGCGCCCCCGTGGCAGGCCTCGGCGGGTGGCTGGGAGGGAAGGAGGGAAGGAAGGAGGGAGGAAGGGAGGGATGGATGGATGGATGGATGGAGTAAGAGAGGGAGGGGTGGATGGAGTGAGGGAGGGAGGAAGGAATGGAGGGAGGCCGGCGGTTAAACAGGCCCGGTCGCCGTGTTGGGGTGCGAGCACAGCCCCGCCGGTGTGGGGCAGAGGAGCAGCCAGGTACTGAAGCTTTCCCCTGGGCGGTGGGGGGTAAACCAAAGCTCACCTGTGGGTTGGGTGGCTGCGACGTAGCCTCTGAGGGATACTGGTTTGTTTCGGTTGTTTTGTTTTGGTTTTTTTTTTGGGGGGGGGAGGAATCTATTAGATTGTATTAGAACTCCCATAGGGAAAGAGATGAGCATCGTTCGTTTCTGCAAGAGGAAAGCCTGTGATACTAACTCTTCAGCTACTACAAACTCCCTTTCTAGGTATTTACATTTGCAGCTTAGACTGTTGTTGCCAGCTCCCTAAAAGTAAAGCACGGAAGTGCTGGTGCTGTTCCATTATCACTCCATTTATGCATCCAGCCCTCGGTTTTCCCATATCTTCATCTGCTCCCACCAACTACCTTCTCATTTGCAATGGAAGTTACTACCTTTTGAGCTGACGGATGGCCGTGCAGATGATGGACATCCTATCAAGAGCCAGGTCGGCTCAGTTCCCTCCAGACATGGACAATAACATGGACAATAGTACATTCCCACTTCACAGGGGTCCTCTCAGACTTAAATAAAGAGCTATGTGTATATATACACATATACATGTACATACACATCTAAAAATAGAAAGGTAGAAACTCTTCACCAGAAAAAAAAAAGGAATAAAAGGAAAAAAAATTAATAATAATAATAAAAAGAAACCAACAAACACCAAAACGGAGCAGTGGTGGCTGCGGGGAGCACCTGCAGAGACGCCCGGGGGTGCCGGGGCTCAGCCCGGCAGAGGGCGGAACCGGGGACCCCCTTCCGGCAGCGGGCGCCGGGCGGGGGGAGGAAGTGGGGAGTTGGGGGGGGACGGGAAGTGCCGGGCGCGTGGGCCGGAAGCGGGCGGGGGAAGGCGGGAGGGGCCGGCCACGCTTCCTGCCGGCGGGCGCGTGTGGCGGCGATGGCGCGGGACGGGCTGAGTACGCGGCCCGACACCCTCCCTCCCTCCCTCCGCCTGACCCCCCCCGCCGCCGGGCCGCTGTTGGGCCTTGTGGAGGCCGGGGTCGCCGCTTTTGGTTCCACGCCCCGCACCGCCTGGTCAGGGTGAGGCGGGATGCCGTGAGGAGGGCCGCGGCGCCCCCGTGGCAGGCCTCGGCGGGTGGCTGGGAGGGAAGGAGGGAAGGAAGGAGGGAGGAAGGGAGGGATGGATGGATGGATGGATGGAGTAAGAGAGGGAGGGGTGGATGGAGTGAGGGAGGGAGGAAGGAATGGAGGGAGGCCGGCGGTTAAACAGGCCCGGTCGCCGTGTTGGGGTGCGAGCACAGCCCCGCCGGTGTGGGGCAGAGGAGCAGCCAGGTACTGAAGCTTTCCCCTGGGCGGTGGGGGGTAAACCAAAGCTCACCTGTGGGTTGGGTGGCTGCGACGTAGCCTCTGAGGGATACTGGTTTGTTTCGGTTGTTTTGTTTTGGTTTTTTTTTTGGGGGGGGGAGGAATCTATTAGATTGTATTAGAACTCCCATAGGGAAAGAGATGAGCATCGTTCGTTTCTGCAAGAGGAAAGCCTGTGATACTAACTCACTTCTTGCTGTACAATAAAAGCGTTTTCAGCCTGTAGAATCATTTGCAAACCAGACCTGACTCAGAGTGATCACAGCAGGGTGCAGACAGCATAGATCTTCCCGTGCCTTTACGGTAGTTGTTTCTGTGGTCGCTTCTGTCAGTCTTCTTCACAGTCTTTGAACTAAATTAGTAACGGTCATTAATATGCAAAAGTGACTGTAACTAACACATTTTGTGGGAACAAAGATAATAACGTGGTGCAGTTGTAGTGGAAATAAAGTAGAAGCAGAGATGATGTGAAAATGAATTTTCCCGAACTCAGCAAGTTGTCTAAACGTGTGCTTAGTTTCCTGTCTAGTAGGGTAAAGTATATTAAGAAGCTCAACTCATTGGTGCTGAATGGTTGTCTTTTGGCAACTATATTATCCCATTCCCTTTTGAACTGCTCTCCGTGGGTTTTCCTGTAGATACTGTTGTAAACTAAAACCAGTCAATTTTCTGTCTTGTGAGGCGTGCAAATTGCTAATCTAGGTTCCTAGAATTCTGAATTTCTGCTTATATCAAATTCATTGCAACCAGTCACTAAAAATGCTTTTTTAACATTTTCATTGCAGGTGAATAAGCTTGGTATTGTTGCTGTGAGTAAGTATGCACACATTTTTCATTCCTGTTTGGTTGTTTGGGTTTTTTTGAACACATCTGACGTCTGTAATTGATTCTCAACTTAAAAAATGGAAAATTAATTGTATGTACTGATATTTACACTGGAACACGTTGAAAGGAGTCTCAGAAATATCAGATATCAATTTGGAAATGAGAATACTGTTGAAACTGTAAGTTAATTCTCTTGGGGGTATGCCTTGTGAAACTCCTGCTCTTGTCATTTTGTTCTTCCAAGAACACCCCTAGGCCTTAAGGAGTGAGCGGTGAATAAAGCTTTTAGTCCAGGTCCCAGTTTTGTGGTTACTAGAAGGCTGTGTTATAGGAGGAAAATAATTACAGGAACAGAACAAGTGAGGGTGGGACTAAAAGTCTTCAGGGAGTGTTAAAAATTGGCTGGACTGCTGGATACAAGGGGTATGAATCTACGACTTGACGTGCAGTTGGCAGTTCGTAACAAAGCCTGGCACCCTTAGATGTCAAACAGCCGGGCCCATGTTGTTCAGCACTTTCGGCAGCAGCTGGGGTGATGAGGTGGCATGCAGCCTTAATAAAAATTTGCAGCCGATGCTATGTTAGGAGGAGTAGCTGATGCTCAGAATGGCAGAGCTTCAGTCCGCGGAGGTGTTGCGAAACGCAAGGCCTGGGCCAACAGAAACCTCGCCAAGTTCAGCGAGGGCAAGTACAAAATAGTGCACCTGGGACAGAACAAGCCAGGAACTGATGGGCTGCGCGGCATGCTGCTGAGAAGGACCTGGGGCTGTGCTGGTGCCAGGTTGAACGTGGACCAACAATGCGGTAACTGAATAAATGAATATAGCAAGCCATGTGCTGAGCTATGTTAGGAACGCGGCCAGCGGATCGGGGTACGCTGTTATTCTCCTGTACTCCCTGCTGGTGAGGCCATACCTGGACTGCCATACCCAGCTAGTGTGGTTCTCCCCCTCCCGTTTCTCCTTCAGTGGCAATGCTGAGGAACTGGGCAGTCAGGGGCCTACAGTATGAAAAGAGACATTAGAGTAACTGGATTAGTGTGGTCTTGCAGAGGGAAAAATATGGGGTGACCTTGAGGCAGCCTGTTACCTGAAGCACAGTTGCAAAGACAGCAGAGATGAATTTATGGTGGTAACGGTAGCCAGAGTAACAAGGGGCAGCAGCCACAGATTGCAGCTTGAGAGGGTCACAATGAAGGAGCTGTGATACAGCAATCTCCTTCCCCAGAAGTTTTCAAGACTCAGCTGGGCACAGTTGCAATTAACCCCATCTAGTACTGGTGATAATCCAGCTTTCCAGCTTTGGGAGGAGCTGGGTGGGAGGTTGAATTAGATGATTTCCAAAGGTCTCTTGCAACTGACATTTAGATGATTCAGTGAGATGCAGGTTGTCTTGAAAAATAGGGTTTTTACTTCTGTATACCACGGGATTTTTACACAGACCTCATAAAGCAAAGTATTTTTCATTAAAAGAGCACTTATAAACTTGAGAATAACTGTCACACCCAGCACTGGGTTTAAAAGATCAGCAGTGATCAACTGTAAACACATAAATGTCACTTCTGTTTTCAGCCTACAAAATCGTAAAAATATTGCATATTCTGTGAAATCCTTTTCTATGGGCTACATTTTCTTACAGGTGTAATCATTTAGGCTTTTTGAGAAATTGAGATGTTTATGTATAATACTGTGATTGAAAAAATGAACGATGTGTGTGTGGTGTTGTTGGTTTATTGATGACATGTGGTTGGTGCTTTGAACTTTTTAATTGAAAGCTGTATTGGCCTAAGCAGACCTGCATAGAGCTCATGTGGAGTACTGGGTTGTCTGTAAGATGATTGTAAACCTAAGTCACTTCAGAGGTGCTACAGGAACATGTCTAACGTGTTCAAACACATTAAATCTCTTACAAAATGCAACGTTTTTTAATGTCTTAGTTTAGTTCTTCACGTTGAAGCTGTGCTGCAGTACAGCAAGGGTACAGGATTCCTTGTATCGGATAATAATTCAGAATACAAAGCAATACTGTAGGGAAGGCTGCTGTGTGATCATGTAAGTTTGTATCATAGGCACACTCCCACAGTGACTTGATTTTTGATCTGGTGTTTCTCTGTACAGTCATTAAGCGCTGTCATTTGCATTTTTATATTTTTATAGATTAATTTTTCCCTAGAGTTTTGGGGTTGTTTTTGGTTTTTTTCAGTTTTCCGCCATTTAGGACCACACCATCAGCTTTTTACTATGATCTGGAGCTGTGACTCTCTTACCAGTTGAGGTAGTGAAGTAGCAGGTCACAATAGTAGGTGCTCTTTCTGAACCAGTCGCAAGGTGGGGAGTGAGATGTATTGTTAGAGCAGGAGCAGTAAATTCCCAGTGTCTTGAGCTGTAATCAGGAAATGGATGTAGGATTGGGTCACTGGCTTCCAGGGCTGCAGACTAATAGGCATTGCTAATGCTGAGACTTTGATATATCATCTCTGTTTCCAGTCCAGTGGGGTGTGGGTCTCTGGTAGTCTGCAGAAGTGTTACCTTGGGATAACTTCTTTGTAAGCCCTCAGGAAGCTGACGTGTGCCTTTACTTACAGTGACAATTCAGTAATTTATTATTAAGTGTTTTTCAAAGGAACTGCCTTGTGATCCATCAGTGTGATGTTACTTACGTTGTTACTGGTATAATAGTATTTATGGTAATATTTGTATTCATCTGAAATGAGTGCATTTCTCCAACAAATTCAACAGGAGAGCTTTCTTGGTGGGACACCACACTAAAAAAAGTACACTGTCAGGCTTTCTATTTTGTTATGAACATGAAACATGTTAAACTTTTCTTCTGTTTCTTTAACAGGTAATGCTTTGCCACAAGACATTACATGTTTGGCAGCGGACCGCATGTTGATATTTGCTTCTTACGACAATATTCTCCATGCTTTTGCCAGGAACAAAGAGGTTTTTATTAGTTTACTTACTGCTTAGTAATACAAACTAGTTGTGGAGTGTTTGTGTTTTCAAGTCGGTTAATTTTCTACAAATGTGTATTTCCATAGATGTTAATTTTAGGGAAGTAGAAACTGTAGGAGGAGGAATAAAAAGTTTAAAATAGGCGAATGTAAGAACAAATGTAATGGCTGACCTGTGTTTTATGTATTATTGTAATAAATAAGTAGCTACTTAAAGATAAAAAATAATTAATTTAATTTATGTGAATAGTAATTTAAAATGAAAATAAATAATTAAATTCATTTAATTAAAATATTTTTGCCAGCAGTTTTAAATATCAGACAAGATTATGTGACGTTGGTTGGCCTTTCCATGTATTTTATTTAAACTTGTTGCTGACTTGTTAGCTGTCCTCAAGTATATGTTAACATGATATGCTACCTGAACAGCTTATATTGACAACATTTCTATTTTGAAATTATAGGTGGTTCATACCTATGAAGGTCACAAGGCAAGGATACATCTTCTGCAGCCTTTTGGTGATCATGTAATCTCTGTGGATGTTGATAATGTTCTTATTGTTTGGAATATACAGTCAGAAGGTGAGAGACACTTTCACCTTTTTTTTCTTTTTTTTTACGACTTTACAGGATAACATTGTTAAACATTCTGTAATTTTTAAAAAAGGTTTTTTTTAATTGCACTTGCTCAGAAGTAGTTTATTCTTTAAAAGGAAAAAATCCTTGAATGATAATGCTACTTAAGTTGTTATCTGAACTCCTAATCCTGCAGTAATTTTTCATGAATGGGTCCTGCACCCCACGCAGAGACCCAGTAAGGTTCCACGTAGGTGTAAAGAGATATGCTTATACAGAAATTGCATTTTAGTGTTCCATTTTCTGATAAAGTCTCTGGTAGAGCAGCTTTGGCACCGTCTCTGAAATCCCATAGATCCTTGATATTTACCATTCTGGGTAAGGCTAAATTCTTATGAATAACCTTTTGATTGTGCGGGCATCTTCTCATGCCATTTCATGCCTTATGAAATCCTACTTCAGAGCCCTGGATTTTCTTATTTAGAAAGCATTCTCATTGGTGTGACCAGTGTCATTCCCTGGATGCTGGGTCTCAAAAGTGGTTGCATTCAGGCTCTAGAGATGTGAAGTTGCTATAACAAACAAAAGGCATGCTAATCAGATGGGGTGTTTTGCTCAGGCAGGAGCGGGAATCCTTCAGAAAGATAGAAATCACTAAAGTTTTGCCAGCATTGTTGTGCTAGGTATGCTTATAGGGAAAAAATACACCTTCAAGCCAACAGATGTTATAGCATAGACAAGTTTAGCTTGTCCTGTTACACATTAGCTAATTCTTTAATGCAAGAAACACCAATTATGGGATTTGTAAAGAGTAAACATAAGTTCTGCCTTTACATTTACCAAGGAGTGATAAGCCTGCAGATTTGTAGGGCTAGCCACACTAACATTGTTTCTTCCTTTTTTTACAGAGGAGTATCTTCAAGTGGATTTTGATAAGGCCACTTTTGCAGTTTCTGCAGTTCTGCATCCCAGCACCTATTTGAATAAAATTCTCCTTGGGAGTGAACAAGGGAGCTTGCAGCTGTGGAATGTAAAATCCAAGTAAGATTCTTAATAACTTGAGTATACTTCATGCTCCAAGTAGTTTCATATGCAACAAATAATACTTATAAGCACAGTAGGTTTCGAACATGGAATCTTTTACTGACTCCTTTGGCACAAGTTTTCAGTTGGTCTATCTCCAGGAACAAAGAATGCTGCTGCTCCCTGAATGCTGATGCCTTTCAAGTTGCGTGTTGTTTACTCTCCCTGCAAAATGTCAGGAATTGTTCAGGATTTTTTTTTATAATTACGTTGTTATTTTTCTTATTTCTTGGAATCACATAGCTTTCCCATGAAAGTAGTAAATGCATGTTCAGGCCTTCTGCCTCCTGTCTTCCAAGCTAAATTTTTTGGTGGTTGTGGAAGTGCTGACAGGTAGTGTGGAGGTAATTACTAGTGTATGATCCTTATACTCAAGTAAGAGATGTGTAGACATGTAGTTGTCTTTGAGCATGTCCCAGGAGAGCACCGTCTGTAATTGTATTTCATGCCTACCACCATCAGCTGCTTTCTTAACTCATGAAAGTTACAGCTACAGTGAACTTCCCTGCATGTTAATGTACCTACTGCAAATAGGTGTTAGCTCAGCTTACATAGTTCAGTGTTTTATTCTTGTAATTACTGTATACTTTCAGCCATATCACTGCTAATTTTTGTGTTTCGTATTCTAAAGTTTAGGATATCCTGTATATGCTATGTAAGTCAGGACATAGGAATAACCTAAAAATGCTATATAAATCAGGACATAGGAATAACCTAAAAATGCTATATAAATCAGGACATAGGAATAACCTAAAAATGCTATATAAATCAGGACATAGGAATAACCTAAAAATACAGGAAAGTAAATGTGTCTATAGCACTCCTGTCTCTCTTCAGTGCCTGTTGCACCATCTGAGATGCAATACATGCTAGGTGACAAAAAGTCTTCCTTAGTTTGTCTTTTAATCTTGTAAAAATGCATGGACTGTTACTGCTCTTTTACAATGTTGCTCTGTTAAGCAGCATGTTTGTTCCCTATATTTCGTAGATAGGTATGGGCACAATTAGACAAAAAAAATAATGGAAGAGCTGAGGGGAAGGTGTAATGGTCTCTGGCAAAAGAGGAAAGTGAGTGGTGATAACACATGGCTGCTATCAGTCAGTGGTGAAGGAATAGCTTTTTAATCATGTCTGTTCTTAAATATGGTCTTCATAATTGCACCCTTGTTGGGTGCATGACTGCGTGTCAGTGAACAGTCCTCCTTCACGTTTTGGCTGTGACCATTTCTGAAGGAAACAAGATGGGCTGTGCTTGTAATATGCATTAGTGTCTTCATCTAGGGAAGTTACTCTACTAACGAAGGATTTTAGTAGAAGCTGGACCAAGGCTGGCTTTTTATGTTAGTGGTCAGAGCTCTGAAGAGGTGCGTTCAGAGCAGAAACGCATGGACAGCAACTGGCGTAGAAGGAATCTTCCTCCCTATTCATTCTACGGAATTATGTCACCTTTGCAGTATTAATGCATGACACTAACTTTTTCATTAAGAATTTACCATAAGTTTTTTTCTTACCCTTACTTATTAGTATCACAGGGCTTTTTCCCTTTTAACGGATACATTAGGACAGAAAACTGATGCACTTCTCTGTGTACATGTGTATAAAGCATCCATTTTGTTGTGGAATATTCCCAAGGGTTAATTGATACATGCTTTTTGTTTGTTTGTTTGTTTTTCAGCAAGCTCTTATACTCGTTTCCAGGATGGCGCTCAGCGGTCACAACTCTTGAACAAGTTAGTATTTTTGTTATCTTATTTTCTTACGTAACAGGTCAAGAGTAGCAGGCAAAATATTGTTGTTTAAAATTACAGCGGTAAAGATGATGTGTTTTCTCTCAGATAATTTTAATAACCCTCTCTTGAGCATTCAAGACATTGAAGAGAGGTAGACTTGAAGGCTTCTTATCTGCTATTGCTCTAGTCCTAGTTCTGTTGCATTTAGCATCTTGGCTGTTTTGTGTTCATCACATCTGTAGTTTCTTTCACTGAATTACGTAATGAATTCACAGAAACAGTTTGTTTGCAAGATGCATCTGTATAATGTGACTTCTGTTACACTGGTAGTTTTTTGCAAAATTTATTTTGCTTTGGAGATTAATAAAATTTAGATTTTGCTAACTCAAGAAAAGATTCTGTAATTATATTTGCTGTATTTTTGTAGATGTAAAAATTAATTAAAACTTCTTGGTAGCATTGATAAGATAATTGAAAATGGTCTACAGTTGTCCTGGATAAAAGTTGTAAGTATGGGGGCGCGTGGCAAGGTATAATCATCTACCAGAACTACCAAAAACTTAGTGAGGTGTTTTTTAAAGGAGTTCCAGCTTCTGGAAACAGAGTTGTTTAATCCATTGGAGACAAAGTGCAAAATTTCGCATCTCGCATTTTTTGTTTAGATTTATCAGATGTTCAGTCATGCGTAATAGAGACTGAAGATCTCATGCAAGATTTGTTTCTTTAGTATTTGTCCTGGACTTATATACATTGTCTTGCACATACTGGTTTTAGTAGTGGAGCAACAAGCTTTTCCTTCTTCATTTCTGTTGCTGGTTTTTTTTTTTTGCAGGCTCCAGCAGTGGATGTTGTTGCAGTCGGTCTTGTATCTGGTCATATCATTGTACATAATATTAAGTTTGATGAAACTCTGATGAAATTTCAACAAGACTGGGGTCCCATCACAGCAATATCTTTTCGTACAGGTAAGTTGTAGGATTTTTAGTGAAAAAATATATATAAACTCACTCAAAGCTCAGTGGAAGGTAGGCAAATATGTTTTGATCAGTCATTTCAGAACCAGAATTTAGGCTGAGAGTTTTAGTCTTCGAAGGCTAGAGATAATCTGGAAAAGTTACCAATAAGTAAGGGAGATCATACATCTTCATCATACTGGCTGTTTTATAGCATTTTCTTTTCTACTGATAGTGCACAGGAAGTGTGACATACAGTGCTCCTTTTTCAAAGAAAAGTTAGCTTATGTTTACAAAGTGCCAAGATCTAACACAGTAAACGGTTATCAGAGTTGGTGCAGAGTAATCAGTACTCTGTAGTGTTAGTATCCAAACCTACTTCTCAGTAGCGTCCGCCCCCTCCAAAACAAATTTAGAATGTTAATAGTTGACTTGTGCTGGGGAACACTGTTTATATTGACAGCTTTTTTGTTTTTTCTAACAAGCGTATAGTGACTACTAAAGCTAGTTATTTTAGTGTTGATCCTGCCTACATAGGATACTGTTGATACTGACCCCAGTCTGAATAGACAAACTTGCAAATCTTAACAGAATATAGATTGATGCAGACCCTGTTGAGGAAGAATGCTACTGGAGAGACTTGGAGAAAGGCTTGTAAGAAGTGGAAAGAGTGCTTTTTTTTGTGTCAGCCATTTAACTCAAAATGGTAATAAAGCGAAATAACTGCCATTGCGGGCTTGAATGTGTGGATTTCAGACATTCTCTAGTCTCTCTCTCTTCCTGTCTTTATGTTTAGGAAATTTAGTGTAAATATAACCTTGTTGTTTTGATCTCGTGTACTTACTTTAGTCTTTGAGTAAGTGCTCTTCATCTAAATTAAAATGAACTTGGCAAATTATCATATCTGTGAAGCTTTACTGAAAGAGAAAGCCCTAGGCCTGTCTGGTTTAGTTATCTATGGTATGTGTAATTGCAAATTGGAAGCTGCCTTTTTCTTTTGTTGGAGTGAAAATATTAATTGCCAATTATGTGGGATGTTTGGTGGAATTTTATCTTAATATGATAAGTTTTAAAACCTATCATATTATTTGTAGTATGTTTTAGAAGTTAGTACTATGTGTTTATCTCCTTCATATTAGAGAGGATAGAGCAAGTAGAACAAAATCAGAAATTCTTTGAATTGAAGTTTAACTATTGCTTAGAGTGATTGAATAAACATGTAATCAACTTTTGGAATTTATTTTTTCAAGTTGTTCAGCCAAAAACTTTAGGGGATTTAAAAAAAGAGCTGTTAACTTCTAGAATGGTGATACATTAGCTATCACATTCTGAAGCGTGATGGCTAATAGGTTTGGGGAAGAATCTGGGGTATAGAATAACTTTTGAAAATGGTACAGGTACAATATCTCTTGTGCTGTCAAGCAAAAACTCCAGTGTCAGATGTAGATACATTTGTTACTATCTGATCTGAAAAAATTCTATTTTTATTATCAGTGAACTTTGTTCCTTTTCTGTTTGAAATACTAGAGTATTTCAGTTAAAAAATATCTTATTTTAAAATCAGCTTGAGAAGTCTTTTTCTTGTGATTGCAGCCTTTTTGGCATGAGGTTTAAGATGTGAGGAGTTGGCAAGGATGAGCTGAATGTCAATGCACAAACCTCTTGAACTTTTTTTTTCTTTTTGAGCAGATGGACACCCAGTAATGGCAGCTGGTAGCCCAATTGGACACATTGGTTTGTGGGATCTAGAAGAGAAGAAACTACTGTGTCAGATGCAAGATGCCCATTCCACAGCAATAGCTGGCATGTCGTTTGTCCCTGGAGAGCCACTGCTTATTACTAATGGTGCTGATAATGCTATACGGGTAAGTTACAATAGCTGCTGCTATCTGCTCTTACATTGTTGGTTTTTTCCTCTTGTATTCCTCCAAATTGTAAATGTTTTGTTTGGATTGATGTAGCAGTTCTCGAGTGAAACAAATACAACAAAACTCAAGTTAATGAAGTTGTTTGCTCTCAGTTGCTCAGTAGTGGGGCAGTTTAAGGACTTGCTACCATGGTGTCATTGCTTCATTTTTTACTTCATGGTAGCCTTGAAGAACAAAGCTTTGCATCCACTTTTCCAGAATCACACTTTATATCCTGGTGCACTATAAAAATAGTTTAAGATTTAAGATAATGTTTTGGATCATGAGCAGCTGCTGTTGATAAAAGTCCCTTATGCTGTGTGTGCTCTGATACCTCTGATTGGCTTTTGGTGAAGGGGCAGAATGAAGAGTGAGAAACAATCAGCTGCTGTGGTGGAAACATCCAGGGGTTTGGATCAAGGGTGAAAGCCGATGTGTGTGTGAAGTTTGCCGCACAGCTCCCAGCTAAACCTGTTCCAACTGCCAAGAGGTGTAATTATTGGCAAGGCAATGTTTATCAGCTTCGTTTTTCTGCTTCTTCTTGGGAGGCAGGTGTGGATTTTTGATGGACCTGGTGGTACAGGACGTGTATTGAGAAGCCGAACGGGACATAGTGCACCACCAACAAAAATCAGATACCATGGGAAAAATGGAGAGCAAATTCTTAGCGCAGGTATGAAATTTTCATTCTTATTCTTCAATCTGATTTCCTGCTGTGATAGAGAAAATGTACAGAGCTAAGTGTCTTTGTTTTATTAGCACAATAGATTATGTTTCTTGTGTTATGTTTGTGTATTTATGAAGTGTAGTAAGTGATCAGTATAGACATTATCATTGCTGTATCAAACTATTTCAGTTTCCCTAGAGGAATGTGTATCAACGGGTAGGCTGAAAAGTAGTTACAGGCAGAAGAGCTTAGGATCTGCTTTTTTCATCCTTATTTATGTTTGATGAATAAAAATTGTTTCAGTATCTCCTAAGGAACTGGTCAAAATGAAAACCTGTAACAACTAGGGAAATTGTGTTGTGACAGGGAAAAACTAAGCAGCATAAGGTTTTTCGTAACTTAGAGGAGCCAATCCACTTTTCCCACTAGTTTGAGCAAGCTTTGTGATGCCGTTGTAAGTTGCTACAGCTTAATTGTGTCTATAATGTGTATTTTCAAAGTCACTTTTTACCAAGATACTCAAGGTGTAAAAATGCTTAAGTGATTACCCCTCCTTAGAAACTCACATATGTAAAAATCTATAAATTAGGAAATGAAGTACTAGATCAGGCTATTTTGTGGCCCAGAACGCTTCAATAATGGAATAATAGTAATTCTTCATATAATCTTTAATTACCTCGCAGTAATGAAATTGTCTATGTGGGCAACGTTTGAAAACATCACACTACATTTTGATGAATGTTACATCTAATACAGCACAGATTTTATCACACTGTGATAAAATCTCTTGCTGGTCTTCCAAGTGGTAATTTGGATTCAAGTAGCTAGTTGCTTAATAGTAATTCAGCTCACAGCAGATGAACCACAGTAACAAGAGTTGCTTAACAAATGTTCACGTTTGCTGTTGCAGTTTACTGCTTGGTTGACTGCTGAAACACGTGGAGAGGGCACAGAGGCTACCGTTGAAGTGGCCTAGTAAAAATATTTTGTGATTCTTCAGATTTTTAAAAATCATCTCAGTGCCTTTAACGTTACATGTGTTGTGCAGTTTGATTTTCTGTCGGTGTCTCCCCAACAAAGTAGACCTGTCTTACAGAATCATAAAGTGGTTTAGGTTGAAAGTGACCTTAAAGATCATTGAGTTCTAAACCCACCTGCTATGGGCAGGGACACCTCCCACCAGACCAGGTTGCTCAACGCCCCATCCAGCCTGGCTTTGAACACCTCGAGGGATGGGGCAGCCACAGCGTCCCTGGGCAACCTGTTCATTGCCTCACCACCCTCGTAGTGAAAAATTTTTTTCTTGGACTAGAATTTTTGGTAAATATTTTATTTGTGGTGTTTGAGGTTTCTTAGTGTTTATCTTCTGCTTTTCTTGCTCAGATAGCTTATGAGTAAACAGAAGTTGATCTTTGCCCTTCACTGGTCTCTGCTAATATTTTGTCAGGTCAAGATGGAACATTGCAGTCTTTTTCAACAGTGCATGAAAAGTTCAATAAAAGTTTAGGACGTGGTAAGTATTTTAGTGACTGGCGAAAAAAGCCCTGAAAAGCATTTATAGTATATGGTTTAACAGGAGTTAAACCATTAGAAAGGCTTTATTTTCTCTTCCAACTGTTGCATGAAAACTATTCACTTCAGCTGTTCTGCAAACTCAGTCTTTCCTGATGTATATAAGGTGTACTCTCAGATTTATTTGTACTAAGAAACACAAATTCTATAGCCTGGCTGTGTATGTTACTTCACTGTGAGAAACATAGAGCATCATTTTTGTATTAAAAATGTGTAAAGCGGTAGCTGACATTTCATAATATGTAATCACTATTTGCACCATAACCCTTCTGTTAAATTGACTAAATTATTAATCAATTTGTATTTCTTGAGTTTAGTTCCTTTGATTTAATGTAGAGTTTAATTTAAAAACAAATATTCCACACCATGCCATGGTTTAAGAGACACTTTCATGTACAGTTCAGAGACTCAGACTAAAATAATTCTTTTTTTAAAAAATATATATATTTTGATAGGTATGTATTTCAATAGATTTGAATAGACAGACATAGATTAATTGATTATGTTTATCTTTTGGGCATAAATTTGAATTTCCCGACCCTTTGGTCATTTAAAGGGTGTTATATATTGCTTATATAATGATGTCTGTATGACCATGGTTTTAGCTGTCATGGGGCAATTTATGCCTTGGCATGTCAGCACAAGATCTTGGATCAAATGGATTGAGCAGTGCATCTGTGACTGTAACAGGCTAGTGATTTTCTCAGCATCACATGAATTTTTGCAGGAACTCTCTATATATATGTTGTTAGCTCTTCAAACCCTAGGCAACAGCAATGTTGTGTTAATGCAAACCAAATTTTTTGTATTACGTTTAGTAAACAGTCCTTTTTAAACCATTGTTCTCAAATTTAGCCATGAGATTGAGACACTTAACTTTTTTTTTTTTTTTTTAAGGTTCAATTAACAAGAAGAAATCAAAAAAGAAAGGTCTTAAACTTGATACGATGGCACTTCCACCAATTACAGTCTTTGCTTCAGGTAAGTAGTCTGTGAGATACATTACAGAACTCATGTCTTCATTTTAACCCTCAAGGCACTGCTGTTTTGAAAGCCCATGCTGTATCAAGAGGGGATTATTGAGATTCTTTGTCCCTTTATGAGCTGTTGAGCGACAGCTGAAAATGACATTTTACTTGGTAAACTCTTCTAGTATTTCATAAAAGAGCATTTTATTTCAAACATCTTTATCTTTAACTGGCTCTTGGATAAAAAATCTCCACCACGTGAGCCGGAGCCTTCTGGATAATAATACATACTACATATTGCATTATTACATATTAATAATACATCTTTGTCAGCTGAGGAAATCTTGGTTATAGTGGTTGATTTTGATTTCCCAGTTACTTTGAGTCCCTTTTCAAAGATTTCAGTTACTCTGTTCATTTGTAATTCAGTATGCAAATTGTGAACCTAACTTTTTGAAGCAGAATTGTGATTATCTTTCCTTCATCAAAATGTGTTTCGTTAAATTAATGACCTTCTTTTCAGACTTGAAGTCTGCTTTGTCTTAAGTGTAGCTATTCTTCCAAGGCAAAGGTTTGGATTGACAATTTTGGTAGCCACTTAACTACATATTGTATTTGTATCTGCAGACTTTCAGTTATACAGACTATCTGTACACACTTGTTGCAAATATGTGTATATATATACATATATATGCACTTTTAATATTAGACCTGTCTGGTCAATTTAAGGTAGTAGACCTACCTCAAATGTGTTTGGAGACATCAGAATGTTTATTTAAGTACACTTTAATTAGAGTTGTTTCTTTTTTGCTATACTGTCATTGTTTGGTGAAGTGAACCAATTTGTACCTGGTTGTTGTATTCTTTGAAGTTCTAGAAATACCTAATTTCAAGCTCTTTTTTTTTTTTTGATGTGTAAATTCCAGAAAAAAAAGAGCAAACTTGCTCATTATTTGGATCCCTGCATATCATATTTTACTACAAAGTTAGGATACTGAGATTTTGAGGAATGATTTTCCTGCAACTGCAGAAAAGTCTTTTGCTATGTTGTGCAGACTTAGCTCTTGAACCCTGCTTTTAATTGTTAATCTAGTGGCTGCTGCTGCTTCAGAAGCAGTGAAGAGATTCAGCTGGAAATGTGTACAGATTGAGCAGTTTAAAGCATTTCAGTTTAAATGTGCTTTTCAAACTCAATACACTCTAACACACAAAGACACACACCCCCCCACGTATATATGTCTAAAAAACATACCAAAAAACGGTTATGGATTTATTAGGGTTTTAGTTACACTAGCATATGCACGAAGATTTGCCAGGTATCTTTTCTGAAGGATAGCTTTCTGAGTGTCCAACAAGAACATTAAATGTGAACTGTCCTGCCTACAAGTATTTCAAAGTACTCTTTCTTATGAAATCAGAAGAGTTTATTTGATTTTAGAATGACTGTTTCTAAAAGGAGTATGTGTGACATTGCAGAAGTGGCACATCAGAGTGACTGGGATGGTATTGTTGCCTGCCATCAAGGGTATATAACCTGTACAACCTGGAACTATCAGAAAACTTCCATGGGAGCTCATAAACTGAGGCCAGAAGAATTCAGCAAACATAAGCCTATAGATATATACGCAACAGTAAGTTTATTTAAGATAATGTTTCTTCAGCCTTTCAGTGTATGTTATTTGGATTTCTATTTGTATGGAAGCAATATTTAGAATGCAAAAGCACTATCTAGACGTGTTTTAGTTGCTTTTGCAAAGTGCTTTCTGCCAGCTCAGTGTGTCTGGCTAGCTGTTTTGTAATGTGTATGGTCTTAAGAAACATGCTGCATATGCATTTTTTTCTGAAACATCCAAGTTAAGTGCAGATTTTATTTTCTGATTCAGATAGGTGGCTGGTGTTTACCTTTAATCTATCGTAGTGATGTAGAGTTGACTATATGCCTGTAATGATAAACTTACTCTGTGAATGCAAATTGCTGAAGATACTTTTTTTGGCAATACGGAAAAATATATTTTCAAATTGCAGGCAGGATATTCCCCCTACAATGCTTTACAACTTGAGCTGGACAAAAATGAAAAGTCTTAACATGCAGTGAAAGAGATACAGATGTTTCCTGAGGCTTACCAGCTTGCAAGACAAGTAGTTCCTGTGGCATACTTCATGCGCTCGGCATTCGTACTACTACTGTATCTTGAGACGCTGTTTTTCTGACCTTACGCTTAGTAATTAAGTGGTAGACGAGGTCGGTTCAGTTGTAAAAACCTGGTTTTCTTTTAAGTACCATATTATTTGGACTGTATCTTTCCAAATACATCTAGACCATTGCTTCTTTATTTCTTTATATTTAAACTCTGCGTGAATTTACCCTATTTTAGGGTGCTGTTGGCAATAAGAGGCACGCAGTTGATAAGCTTCCGTTTTATCTTAGGGATTAAATTTGTCCTGATTACATAGGTTAGTCATTTAGGTTATGGTAGGATGTCAGTAAGTCAGTATTTCATTATCCTTCATAATATGCACTGCTATATTTATTGCTCATTGACTACTTGGTTATTTTAAAAGCTCTTATCTACTCTTTTCATATGTAATCTGTTGATTGGTCTGTGTGGTTTTCCTTGAAGAAATTTAGTAAAAACATACTAGCATTTTGTATTCCTGATATGTTAATGCATCTTCTAACAAGTTCGCTAATTAGATATACACTTAAAAATTGTTTTCATAGCTGGTGGTTGGTTTTGTTTTTTGTTTTTTTTTTTTACTTGAAAGGCAGTTGACATCACCTCATGTGGGAACTTTGCTGTAATTGGGCTGTCAACTGGACAGGTAGATGTGTATAACATGCAGTCTGGCATTCACAGAGGGTGTTTCGGCAAAGAAAGAGGTAAGAATTGCTACACCTTGAACATACTGACTCTTAACAAAACAGCAACAGCCTGGTATTGTGTCATCTAGGAAATTTAACACAGCCTCTGAGATGAATTTGAGGATCTCTTCAGTTTCTCTAATTACCCTACACTGTCCGATCTTGCACTTGTCATCGGAAGTAATTTGAAACCAACTCTGAAAGACATAATCTCTGCTAGTTTCAACAGCTCTGATGTTAGCATTTGTTTTCTCTTAATTAACACAAAATTGTCAGTTACCAAAATGGTTAGTACTAAAATGAGATCCTCTGCCCTCAGCTCTTTCTGAGATAAACACATTTCCAGTACTTGGCTTCTTATTATAGGATTCTATCTCTGAGATAAATTTTCCCATCTGTTTTGTGCTCCCTGCTTAAAAATGAAAGAATACTTTATGCACATGGGAAATTGAAATCCTAAGCAAGTCCAGCTCTTTACATATGCAATTATTTTCAATTTCCCAGCTGCAAACTTAGGACGTAATGCAAGTGACAGTGTTCAGACTTTTAGTGGTTGTGTACGTATATGTTTCATGTCACTTATCCTCATATGTTTGTTGTTGCTTTGTAAGTCTGCAATTTATAATAGGGCCATTGTGATCTGATTTTTTTTGTTGTTGTAGAAACAAGAAAAGAGTCTTGATGAATGCTTAAAGCTTATCTGGTTTCTAAAAGCCATCTAACATAGCAAACATGAAGTGGTCTCCTAATAACATCATTGCTTGATAGTGGGATGAATTTTGAGTTGATTACTGGCTAGTAGCCCTAGGCACAGATTAAAAAGTAAAATTGATCCAAAACCAGTGCCTTATCTTTACACTGCAGTGTAAAGTAGCCTAGGAAAATTCCCGGTCTTTGTGCCAAAACTGAAGCTGTAAATTTTGTCTGGAGTGGTTAGACTCCCTGGAGGCATTCCCTAAGTAATTCAAAAAGCCTCTCTCTCTCACGTTCAAAAAAAGCTCCCCCAGTATGAAAGCAGAAATAAAAGCAAATATTCAGCTTCAATTGCTCACAGCTTTGTATTGTATTCTAAGTGCTTACTTGAAAGCAATTTGGCTCTGTATTGGTAAAGAAAATTCTAATATTTCAGCAGTCTAGTCAGGTGGCTTTAGAATTGTTTGTCATACGCTTACCGCTCATTTCGTGGAGTTAGGTGGAGGCATACAGAATATTGTGTGGCATTCTGCTGATTTCTAGCTATGTTTAAATTCTGAAATACAACTTTCTTTTCCCTTGATTCACAGCACATGAAGGGGCCATTAGGGGGGTAGCAGTGGATGGATTAAATCAGCTGTTAATCACAGCTGGTAGTGAAAGATTAATAAAATTTTGGAAATTTAAAACTAAAGATCTGGTTTACTCCACTGAGCTTTCTTCTTCTCCGAGTGGAATTCTGCTTCACAGAGACAGGTAAGAAACTGAAGCTATTTCATGTGCATGTGTTTTTTGGTTCAAGTATGTAACCCTAGGATGACAACCAAATATTCTAATAAAGTTTAAATTTCTGATGCACTGAAATAAAACTGACTACTAGTTGACAAAAGAAAGTGACTACAGGATATTTTATTACACTGAAGGAATGTAATACTGTTTTTCTGAGATTATGTCAGGATAAATTATTTTTGGAGCAGTGTTAGCGTATTGGTTTTATTTTTTGTCTCTGAGTATTCACTATCATATGTGCTAATGATTCTTGGCAGTGGTATTCTGGGAATTGCCTTTGATGACTTCAGTATTAGTGTTCTGGATATAGAAACCAGGAAGATTGTCAGGACGTTCTCAGGACACCATGGACGGATTAATGACATGGTAATTGTTAACTCATTTTCTGTAACAGATGACATGTACAAATAACCAATTCATTTTAAAGATGGTGGATTTCTCTGTGTCTATTAAGTCACTGAGTGTTGTATTCAACTGTGAATAGTAAAGTTGTAGTTCAGCTTTACAGCAGTTTGGCCATGTTAATTTTCAAGATAAAGTGTATAGAGTTTTTTTATTTGTATTTATTTGTATTTTTAGTGTGCTTTGAGATTTTACTATAAATTTGCAACAAGCTTATTTTGGGTTTAACAAAATAAAGCATTAAGAGGAATGAAAAGCACATTGAGGAGCAAAATTGTGCAATGCTCTTAACTGTATATACAGAACAGATGCAACAGGTAAATAAAAAAGTATAAACAAATCTGAGATCATGCAATCTGCTGATAATTCCTTATTTTACATCTTGTGTAATAGTGCTTTGTAGTGTTCATTTAAATAGTTTTCACCTTCTGATTGAATTTGAAGTCCTAGTTTATGCTCAGTGGTTTTCATCATTAGAAGTGAGGACCACAGTGCTTTTACTAACAGCCAGATGTGTCCTCTGTCATATATTTAAACCTGTTCTGAAATAACTTCCATTTTTGTCCTTTTCTGGCTTTAAATAAGGTGATGTCAGTTTTGGTTTGTGGTCAGACCATTTCATCCCGGTGTTAGGGAGCAATCTAATCTTGAACTTTGTAAAACAGGACCTCCTGTAGGATCTGACTTGTCAGTTGTGCCATTGAATATATGGTTTTATTTTAGACTTTCAGTCCTGATGGTCGTTGGCTAATAACTTCGTCAATGGACTGTACCATTAAGACTTGGGACCTTCCATCTGGATGGTGAGTTATTTAAAAATCATACAGCAGACTTATTGTAATCCCCTTTCTATCTTTTAAGTTAAAAAGCCTTCTGGCTTGATCATCTGTCACCAGCCTGTACTAAGTGATATTCAAAGTTGCACATGGTCTAACAACTAAGTACCCAGTATTTTAGTCGTGTGTGATGCTAGCAATATGTGCCTTTTTCTGGATATAAAAAAAAAAAATGCCCTGAAGATCTAATAATGAAACTCAGAGTTCTCATGAGGGTGAATCAGAGTGAATGTTCTTTTTCTGGAAGCAGCACTGTAACCTAAATGTCACAAGATTACTTCAGCACATTCACCTTAAGCATTCACAGCGTCATAGAATGGTTTGATTTAGAAGCTGACCTGGACATCTGTCACTAGACTAGGTTGCTCAAAGACCCATCCAGCCTGACCTTGAACAATTAGAGTGATGGGCTGCCCACGACTTCTGTTGGCAACCTGTGCCAGTGTCTCACCACCCTCATCATAAAAAAATTCTTCTGGTCTAAACCTACCCCCTCTCAGTTCAAAACTGTTGCCCCTTGTCCTGTCACTACAGACCTTGTTAAAAAGTTTTTCTGAGCCTTTCTTACAAGATTCCTTTAAGTATTGAAGGGTCACAAGAAGGTCTTCCTGGAGCCAGGAATTCTCCAGGGTTGAGAACCCCAACTTTTTCAGCCTTTCTTCAGAGAAAACATGTTCCAGCCCTCTGATTGTTGTCCTGGACCTGCTCTAACTTCACACCTAACTTGTGCGAGTGCCCCAGAGTTGGATGCAGTACTCCAGTTGTTTTTTTTCTAAATAGAAGCTTGTTCTCACTTACATTCATTTTAGCAGCACAATAAGGCTTTACTTCAGTTAGATTGTTAATTTCTGCATGGTTGCAACTGCCAAAAATACTCTTTAATGACCAATATGAGTAGTCTTTTCCCAGAATGAAATTTGGACAAGTACATGCAAGAGGTTCAGGAGCCCCAAAAAAACAGGCAAAAATGTAACTTTGAGTTCTGCCATTGCATTCTTTCAGCAGCACATCAGATAATAGATTTTTAGTGATTCAAAGCAGTGCTATGCACTGTGCAGCTCTGGTCATACCTGGTACGGAATAGTTTCATTTGGATTGATGAAATTTTGGTAAACAATTTTGTATTTACTATACTATAAAAGTTTTCAATTTACTACAAGAAGTGTGTTGAATCTCAAGAAATAATGCTTAGTTAACAGAACAGAGTTGTAGAACCAGCTGCTCTCATCACGTCTCACTTCGCTTTTGATTTTGGTCTGTAAACAAGAACAAATAACTCAAGCTCTCTGTTTGTTGTTTTTTTTTCTCTCAACTAGTTGTCAAACTTAACTGTTTCTTACAATTTGAGGTAACTGAAATTTGTACCTCAACAAGCCACAGGCAGTGCTATGATCCCAGGCTTGAGTGAATTGTCTGCTAGGGTGTGCATCATCCAGGACTTGTGGCATCACCTGGAACTCAAAAGTGGCTTATTGTTAAAATAGTCACATACTACTAAATATTTTAATTTTCTTTTTATGTGGTGTTTTCAGTTTTCTGCAGTAGTGAAAGGAATGATCAAGGAAGGCTGAAGATATGGAAATGTCAAAACAAGTTGTTGCAGATAATAAAATTTTGCAGTATACAGTTCATTCTTTACTTTAGGTCCTGGTGTTAACCAGATTCATATGAAGTATTTTGAGAGAAGGAATTAACAATTTATGGCAGAGCATTAAAAGATGAGGTCAGAGCAGCATGGAGCTGATGGGAAGTACGAAATAGATGACTACTAGAAAGGTCAGTGTTAGGCATAAGGCGTTGAATGTGGATACAGGGTTCATCGTATTTTCCACAGACTGTGGTTGTCTAAGGAGGTAGCATAAATGTACCAGCTTTAGCTGATTTTAGAGAATTTTATAGAGGTGAGTGGTTTGTTGCACGGTGCTGTTCATTTGCTAAGTTAATTTGTTGTATTTGAATACTTCTAATACGACAGTTTGTATATATACTTCCAGTGTCCTGCTTGTGTTCAGTTGTTTTTGTGCTGCTATTCAGATACAGATAAACAAGTTCATGTTGCTGAGAATTTCTGTTGTTTTTTCTCCACTTAGCCTCATAGATTGTTTTTTGGTAGACTCCGCAGCTGTGAGCCTTACTATGTCTCCTACAGGAGATTTTCTAGCGTCAACACATGTGGATGATCTTGGAATTTATTTGTGGTAAGTATGTGATATATCTGTTTAAACACAGAATTTCAGATGGGGAAGAATTCTTTTAATTACCTTTATTGCAAATAGAGAATTGTTCTGCAAAGTATCATCTCCAGGGTATTGTGTTCTCTGGTTCTAATTAAGACAAGTATTCTGTATTGTTGTGATTCATAAACTTTGAAATCTCTTGTGGTTAAGGAATTTATTCTGATAATTAAATTAACTCTTTTTTCTAAATGTTTCTTTCTTACGTTAAAGTAAATTCCTATTATGTCATTCCTAAACTTTTTCTTTGACTCTACCATTAATTTTTCCACCCCCCTTGAAATGTCAGTGCTCATATAGTGTTACTTCTGAAGAACTTTTCTTCTTGTCCTGGTATACAATATAGTCTGAGACTTCTGAGTAGAATTTGGAAATTGCAATTATTTCTGTTTATTAATGATAGATCAGCACAGATTTAAATAGTGTTTTAGTTCAGTTGCCTCCTGATAACAGCTATAAAACAAATGACTGGTTAGGCCCAGTACTGAAATAAAGCACCTTTCAAGTGGTTTGGTGGGTTTTTTTCCAGTTTGATGTAGATCGATCTTTCAGATCATATTTATTACCTGTAGTTTTGCCTGAGGGGTGTGCAATTGTTAGACTTTTCTACGCTTAAGTAGAAGTGCCTCATTGTAAATAATGACAATTTTTTTTACCTAGCCCTGTTTTATATTGACAGAAAAAGTCATTTGCCAGAATGGCTTCTGTACGTGTTCCAAACCTCAAGAAAATTTGCTAAGACTACTACTCTGAAATTCTGTGAAAGCAGGATGAATCATTTATATTTGCTTAATGTATTGTACATATTAAGTACAAAGCAAACTTTTTAGATAGGCAATTTTGCAATTCCAAGTAAATGTAGTAAATGGCAATGATTAAAGTAATCATACTGCGTAATGCCATATATATTAAGCATTCATGGCAATAATACTTCAGCATAATTTATGTTTCAGACTATCAGATGATACACAGAACTATGTTTAATTTCTTGTTTATCTGGTAGATGAGGAAAACTAATCTTGAATAGAAACTGGTGAATTGCCATAGTGCAGTAGTATTAGATTGCAGTAAAAATTATATCTAAAATACTTGTTCCCGTTCTCCTGAAAATTGTTTTTAAAATGCCTGTCTTACTTTTCAGGTCAAATCGTTCTCTATATTCACTTGTCTCTTTACGGCCCCTTCCGGCAGATTATGAACCTTCTATGGTGACACGTCCTAGCACCTGCCCTGTGCAAGGTAATCGTCAGATGGGAGAGTATTTTGTTTTCAGTTTGGTATTATATTTTACTTAGAAAATGGTTTGCTTCCTCAGTGAAAACTCATTGTGTCTTGGCATTCTTTCTCTGAACTGTTGTATCGCTTCTGCCATTTTTGGCATAGTTACTCATATGCAGGTATTATTTACTAAAATCTAGTCATGTTTCTATGTTCAGACATAAAGAATCACATTGTGATGATCTCCCCGTCTTCAAGGAGATTTTATAGATGATAAAAACATCTGTGCTATTTGCTGCCTTTCTTTAATCCCAGACACTTGTAACTACCTGAATTGGGTTCAGTTGACCTGCTGTGTTCCTGTGCTAGATTGCCAATGAAGGAAAGGCCTAAATTGCATTTTTGATTCATTTAATAGAAATGGTTGAGCTTCTGAAGGCCTCTAGATGGGGATCTTGTCTGCCCGACTTTAGCAGTGCCTACATTTAGATGGCCATCTGGAGGAGAAACAGACCTAGTTATTGACAGCATAAAAGAACAAGGAACATACTTGAAGATGACTGCTTTATTAAGCACATACTTGTTTTAGATACTTAAATTAGGGAGACAGGATTTCATCCCAAAACTTTGAATGTTTTAATCCTGTAACCTGATTCTGGCTGAACGCTTTAATTCACTTCCTGGCTTCAGCAAAGGTAAAGTTCCTGTTTAGATATTCAGAGCTTTTATTGGTGTACATGTCTTCGTTGTTTTGGACTTTTCTATCATATTCATGGTTTCAGCCATGTAATATTTTGCAAAAATGAAGGGAAGGTAGATGTTTGGTCAAGACCACACCAGAAAGCTAGAGAAACCTCATGATAGACTGCGTATCTTTTGTTGTGTGAAGTGGTGCTTTATGGTTGAGATTTTCTTCATTTTTATGTGCCATTTTAGTCATACCTATGAACAGGTTGTGAATCTTGTATGTGTTTAAATGAAGAGATTTTACAGATTTGAAACTCAGAACTGAAACTGCTGTGTATATATTTTGCAGCAGTTAACAGTTTAAAAGTAATCCATTGTTCTTCCTGTAGGACTTCTATAAATTGCTTTTATATCATTTCAGCCAAAGTGGAGATAAACCTTGTTATTTTTTAAAATTTTATTTATTCAGTTCTGCATTTTAGCTACAGTTGTTTGCCATTTTAATATTTAATAAGGTGAATGAAGATTGTTTCTGTAGCTTTTCAGCTATATGTTATGCTGGCATCCACATATATGGCTGTTTTGCATGTGTTTTTCAAAAATTGCAAAAGAAATTATCATGTTGTTTTGATTTTTCAATAAAATAAATGTGAAGTATGTATGTTCATAAAAGATCTCTGTTCTTGAAAGATGTGGATGTGTCAGGAGATGAAGAAACATGTGATGAAATGATAGAATATGTCTCACCTGAGCAACTGGGAGAGCAGCTAGTGACTCTTTCTTCATTACCAGAATCAAGGTGGAAAAATCTCCTCAGTCTTGATGTTATCAAGGTAACAATATTAGGCACACCATTGCTTATCTACTGTAGTATTTGGAGTGTAGTTTTTAAGGAGATAAAATAAGGGGTGTTTCTCCTGTAATGTAAAACAGGCAGTTGTCTTTACTGTTCTCTTGGATGCTCTAGAAATCTTGAGAAGGAGGAACTGTTTCATACCATTTGCCATTACTGTTCCTGCAACATGCAAAATAGCTGTCTGAAGGCAGGTAATTCCATGTCAATGCAGCTAATAAGTGCGTATAAAGCTGCTCCAAATCACTGTTGGGCATTCCCATAACTGGAAAAAGAGGGAATGTGCAAAAAATAGTAGTATAGAGCCAGGTATATTTGCCTTGTTCCATGAGCTGCATTTACCTAATCACAAAACTTGATCCCACTTTTCAGGTATTTTTCAAATTTTTTCAGTAGAAGACTATATGGTGCTTTTCACAATTTCTGGCATTTGGGAGAGGGGCTGCTTTTCTTCTGAATAGTAGTTTCATTTCAAACGTTTTACCTATATATTTACTTCTCAGTTAGTCCTTTCAGGTTTCATAGTATTTTAAAAATAAAACTCTTGACAAACAAAATTCCCGTATGTTCTTACTATGATGATGATTTTAATTCAAATATCTAATTAACAGAAAAAAAATAAACCAAGAGAGCCACCAAAAGTTCCCAAGTCGGCACCTTTCTTCATCCCAACAGTTCCTGGTCTTATACCCCGATACATTGCTCCAGAGGAAGAAAATGATACACAGGTAAAAACCAAAAATCAATACAATAGTTTTTATCTAGTGTATTTTACAAGAAAATTTTAAGTGCTTTTTCGTGCTGAGTAAAATCTTGCTAAAGACTATAAAGTACCAGTTTTAAACCATTTGCATTAATGCTTTTATCTTGCAGTCTTTTATTCTGTCAGTAGGAAAAGAATCTAATTGACATATAAAACATGTTTGCCTATTAATGTACACTCTCTTATACTTTCATGGTCTAGTCAAAGGTAGTAAACCTTGGAGTACTGGCACAGAAATCTGATTTCTACATTCGTCTTGAAGAAGCCCTGAGCACTAATGAATGTAAGTTGACGAGACATTTCACTAAAAATATAGATGCTAATAATATTTGGATGTGCGTTTGATTTCTAATGCCAGAATTGTAACGTGTGATGGGAAAAAGTAGGCATATTGCAGTAGCAAAGGCAAGGAGAGTGACCAAAGAGAAAGGCAAAGAGTCTTTCTAGTCAGCTATGTGTCTATATATATAGACAGAGTCAGCTACAAAGCTGACTAATACATAGATAGCCAGTGTAGATTAAAGGTTCACTGGTGTTCCAGCTTGCCTGCAGCATGGAGCCTAGTTATGGCTAAAACACATTTAGAGAAAAAAGTTAGCGTTCCTAAGATTGTTGGACTTTTTTGGAGATTGTGATGATCTCACCCAAGAAAGGTGCTTCGTGTTATTTGTGGGGTAAGAACGGAAGGGAATGATCTGGTAAGGAATATTCAGGTGATTCACTGAAACATGAAAAAAATAATTTGCCTAGCAAGTTCTATTTTCAAGGGCTACTTCACTAAATGTTCAGCAGACTTAGAGCTTTAGTTGATTGCTTTATAATTTAAAGCTTACAAAGAACTATTTTTTATAAGAATAAGCTCTAGGATTTCTTTTAACATTCATTTTGAAATTCAGTCACTTAAATTGACTGTAGAATGTACCAGCTGTTTTCGCTGTTTAACTTGTGCTACTACAGAATCATTGAAATTTGTATTCTCGGAAATGGTTGCCAGTATAGCTGGCTTGGAAATGAAAATGTACAGTCACTGTCAGCTCGTCCACAAGGCAGTTTTGCTGAGAATTTTTCTACCCCTTCTTCAGCTCTTTTGATATGACTTAGTCATATCAAAATCATATTTTGATATGGCTTAGTCAACTGCACTTAAAACATTTTGTGTGTAGAGCTGTATTGTCTGTGACAGACAAGGTGGTTTTTTATGCTGTGTTTTTAGTATTTCAATTGATAGCATTCTACTAAGATGCTTCAGAGGTGCTCAGAGAAGAGTGAAACACCAGGTGAATATGTAAAAACCTAACCAAGCACCTGGAGGCTGGGTGTACCACGGAGCAAGTGCACTCCGTAGCAGTCCTGTGAGCCTTCCTGAAGCCACCTCCTTGCTGTAAGGCAGGTGTGGTCCATGGTCTGTGCTGTAATCCCAGTCCAGGGAGCCTGTTGATCCTGACTTGGCAAGCTGCTGGTGTGTAACATTGCTCTGTGCTTGGTAGTTTACAGGCATCCCTTCTAAAGGTGACTAGGCTGTGCAAATAAACAGTATTATACTAGAAGCCATCCTGGCTTACCATTGGAGTGGAGATAGGGTTTTGTACCTCAGATCAGGATGGTGGAACACAGGTTGAGCTGGACACCTTTTACATATTGTATGGGTACCAACTTCATAGTATGGTCCATGCTTGGTTTTTTAATGTCACTGCACAAAAATGAGTTAAATGCATCTCATCTGTTCAGTACTGTTAGTACCACAATTACATTTTAAACTAGTTTATGATTTTCATAAGAATCAAATAGAAAAGGAAACAGATTTATACCACCTCAGGAGTATTTGCTAGTGCCTGATACCATTAGTTATCACGATACAAGAATATAACGAGTTGCTCTTCTTAGCAACTTTTTAGCGAAAGAAATACTATTTAGAAGATGTTTTTTTAAATGTTTCTACAAACACCTGTGTTTGCAACCATACATATTTTTATTTCTGCATTTTTAAAGCAAATGGGTGGAATTCTGAAAGACCAGGTAGGATTGTAGAAACCTTGAGGAAGAAAGTTTATGAAGAGAAGGAAAGAGTTTGTAAATTGCATATGTTTCTACCAGGGAAAAGCTTTCCTCCACTCCACCACCCCCAGGTCCCAGGAAAAGCAGGAGGAATTCACTTAACAGAAGTAATAATTATCTTAGATGCACCAGATAATCCTCAATTTAGCTTAATGTCAATAAGAGTAAACATTGTAAAGATTCCTAGTAAAAGTCTTCTAGGATATATTTGCAGTAACAGCTTGAAGTTTCAAGCATAAACGTTCTTTTTGCCAATAGGTGTAAAATGATGATGTTAATGTGGTTAAAAAGAAATTTTGTTCATCTTAGAAGACAGATATGGGGAAAAAAGTATTACAAATACAAAGATCTTACTTGCATTTTTCAAGGTGAGCTTACAAATAAAATGCAGCTGTCTTTTTTGAGATGTATTTGTCTGCAGTATGTGCCGGGACAGTAAATTAAAGCTAGGATGGCATTTTGTGGAAAACAAAAAAAAGTAAGGAAACAGTAGAAACTTGAAACAGTCGGTCATTGCTTACAAATTTTTGAACAAACCCATCCACATGAAGAATTTGTAAGATTCTTTTCTGCTTTAACACAGATACAGCTCCACTTAACTTACTGAAAACCTTGGGACCATCTCATATTGAGATAGAACTAAGGGGTTTGGCCCCTGAAGGTGGTGGCTCAACAGAGGTGATGCTAAGCTTTTTGAGAATGATCGGGATGATGCTGAACAAGAAGTACAACTTCGAACTTGCTCAGGCGTATCTTGCACTATTTTTAAAGGTAACAATTTTCTTATAAAATTTTATGTTAGTCCTGTTTAAAATGATGGTTGTCCAGTAAAAGGATGTAAAATGTCTGCTTAAAAGAATTATCTTAAGTGATTTTTGTTTGGGTTGGTTTTAAAATTACTAACTGAAGGGATTGGATAATTTGACAACTCATCTGTTATCAGTCAAGAAAACTTGCAAAAACCAGATATTGTGAAGAGGACCATGACAGACAGGTTTTATTCTAGTATTTGTTACTTAGACTTGTAAATTTTTTGGTAACATACCTAACTTCTTAGTGGTTGTTAATTGCTAAGCTAAGATACAGTATACCTTAGGTAAAAAAAGAATTCAATGCATAATGTTTGGGGAAGTAAAATGAGCATCTTTTTGGACTTGCCACTAGCCATTGTAAGCCTGACTTTTACTTTATGTGTCAGTGGGCTGCCTTTCTTCTGTTTTCTGCTAAGCATCACAGAGCTAATGAAATTATTCCCAGGTGTGTGGAGGTTAGAAAGTTGCTGTGATAAAATACCATTGCAGTTACTCTGAGAGAGAAAGTGATTCTGCAGAAGGTTGAAACCCTGTGATGTAGAAATGCTTACCTTGTCAAGATACTCCGATTTATGAAACTGTGAGAAAGCAATTAATTACACTTTGCTAGGAAAAAAGTTGTTCTAAACATTCAGACGTGTAACACTATTTAACTAATTATTTCTTAATACAATGTTGCAGGGATTTGTTTTAAGGTAGAGTTGAATGCTGGACAAATATGACTTTCTTTGGGGTTTTGTTGGGGTTAAATAGAACACACAGGGCAGCTTCCACAAGAACAAGCAGTGCAGACGAATAGATCTGTAGAGTAAAACACTTCGGCTTGGGCTTTTTATCGTGTCTATTTATTATTAGTCTAGTCCCATGGACTGGATATGATTAATAGTTGCAATATTAGATGTTAGAATTCCTCTTTATGTTTAGTTTCATACAAAAGAACTTTAGCTCTTTCAGGGTAGATTATGCCCAGCTAGATATTTTGACTCAGAAATGTGCTCCTGATCTGGACTACAGTAGAATAATATAAACTCACCTTGTGACACATGAACACCAATATCTTTTGTTGCAGATTCCAATTAAAACAGTTATGAAGGTAGCAAGACTCGGAGATTTAAGTTGTAGCCAGGAAGATAACTATTCCATCCATTAAGTGGTAGTAATGTATTGCCTTTCTACAAGATTGAGAGGTTTGTTTTCTTGTCTTTCCCAAGGTTATAGTTTACTACACAGAGAAACATCATCTCCCCTGTATCAGTATAGAGTGTGCTCGCATCACTCTTCTTGCTTTATGCAACACAGATAATTAAAATAGCAATCCTGATTGACCTTGGGGCATCTATTTAGCCCTTCTAGCCTAAAGAGGAATTTATGATGCAGGCTGGAAAGAGGGGAAAGTTACCCTCTTGAGAATTGTGTGATTTGGGTAGATTCAAGAGCAGTGGCAGAAGATCATCTAGTAAAGCAATAACATATTTAATACATTTTGCTGCCTTATCCCATCTAATACATATGTGGGAATAAAATGGCTTGTGAAAGACTAGAAAAATGAGGCAGCATTAAATGGATGCAATTAATTGAAGGAAAATTGAAGTCCTTCTCTTACATGGGACATTCCTGAAAGCAAAGTATTGGAACTGAATGAGGAAGTTGATCTTTTAATTCTTTTGTTATCTGTACTTGTTTCACTAACTGCTTGTTTTCATTTTCAGTTACACCTTAAGGTTCTCTCATCAGAGCCAGACCTATTGGAAGAAGTATCCAGATTGTCAACGCAACTCGAGGAAACTTGGCTTCATTTGCAGACTCTCTTTAATCAGAGTCTATGTGTATTAACATATATGAAAAGTGCTTTGCTGTAAAATACTTCAGGGTTTTGTCTATATACAATAGTAGCAACAAATAATAGTAAAAGTTATTAACAAAAATACTGGATTCCAAGAATTCTACTGGGACTTTTGATACTGTATTTTGTACATCTGTGTATGGCAAAGTATTTTAGAACAAACATAACTGCGTGTTTTTACTCACTTCAGTTGGAACAAAAATAAATATGTGCAGCTTAAATATTCATGTTGTATTAGTTTGTGCTGTCAATGAGCAAAGAGTTGGACAGCTATAGGTAATGTAGCTAGTTATCTTATGCTTTCATGACCAAAAATGGAAATGGGAATGAAGAAACGACTTGCAAAAAAAAAAAAAAAAAAGTGGGAATAATGTAATTTCTGTGCAGGAGACCAAAACCAGTTTTGTGCTTAATAAACAGTTATTATTGATGCAAAAATAAAGCCAAAAGAATGAATTCTCCTCACTTTGGCAAGCTGTGTTCACTATTTTGCCTCACACACCTTTTTCTGAAAGCAGAGATTTCTAGCTATGCTACAAATGATGGACGTTGAAAAAAAGGGAAACAGAACTAAAAAAACCCACCCATTTTTTCTAACCAGGTTTCTTGCTCTTAATTTTGGAGGCTCAATATCTTACGAAAATTAGGATTCTTTTCTTAAAGAGATAAAGATTACTGGAATAAAAGCTTTGAGTTGTGGGGAAATTTTAATTTAATCATGTTATTTTTGTGAATTCATGCTTAGGTTTCAAGTAACGTTTTGGCAGAGTTTGGGAACTCATGAATGGGATTATCTTGAACTTTGTGTATGGAATTCTGCCTTAACAGCAGAAGAATCTCCTGAACAGCGCCTTTGCTGCAATCCACATGCTCCAGCTACAGGCACAGGCTAACAGAGCAACTAATACAAATCTATGCAATTTTGATAAGAGACATGAAAGATGAGTTCTTTGCATTTGGCATAAGACTGAAATAATAATTTTTTTAATGCCATCATGTTACGGAATTCTTTTTAGTCGCGTATCCTGCAATAAATTATCTGCAAACATGCATGTGCAGTGTAGAGTATGGGATACTCCCTAAAACAAGCGACAGTTCCATATTTATCATGAGATCAGCATCCTTTTGGCTGCTCAAATTTGCAAGAAAAGCCATCAAGGTTGTGAAAGAAGCACAGAGGTGATGGGAAGTCAGTTTTTACAGCTTCTCTCTGTTGTTCTGGCTGTTCTTGATCCATAACTTTGACTCCTGTTAAAGCTTGAAGAGAACGGAGAAATACTATGAAAGTTTACAGACTGTGGCATTCTAAGCAGTTAGGACTGAGAGTGTGTTGCCCATGGGAATGATGTATGCCTAGGTTTTTTTTATTAAGTTTACTATTGAGATTTAAGAAAATGCTTTGTACCATTGAATTATTAGCTTCTGGTGATACCCATTACTCCCAATTTCTTGAATTTGTCTGAAGCAGTCCAAATCCCTCAAACTTCAATGTAATATATAGTAAACCTCTGAGCTTATAGGTGTTACTGTAACTAATTTAGAAGATCTTAAAGATTCATTTTTTGAACCAAGACATCAGAATATTAAAAGATGAGTAAGTTGGTAGTTACAGACCTGCCGTAGTAGAGAAAGGAGCAGTGAGTAAAGAACTTTCCTCTTGGATCAGAGCAACGGGGTGTCAAGGCTAGTGTTCTGGTCTCCAGCTGGAGCAAGGGACAGCTACAAAGGTCATGTATGAAGTGATTCTTCTCAAGCGCATCACACCAGCTTTCAGCAGACAGCTGTTTAGATACTTCATGACCCAGATGTATTATAACGGTTGTGTTTAATATTCTGTGACAGACCTGTTTGTTGTCTCTGAGTTCCTCTAATCTCTTTTAGAGCCCATTTATCCTTCACAACATCCTGTAGTAATGGGACCTACAATTGAATTAAATACTAAGGGAAATAATGTATTTCTGTTTGTATTCTCCAGACCTGCTATCTTCTAATGTTGTATGCCCCTCCTACTTCTTGAATGTGAGAATTAATATTTGTGCTCTAGTCTTTGTGCTTCACTGCCTCGGTCACAGAGCAGTCGTGAAATGGTTTCTACTTGAGAAGGCAATACTTCATTTTTCTGAGCACACACGTGTTTTTTCACTCACATATAAGAACTTGTTTTGGGCACAGGTGTTTAAGAGTTGCTGACAAAACTTGTAGGATTTATAGAGAAATTGTGTTTTTTCTTTCCTTTTTTTTTTTTTTATCTACTTGATGTAATCAGGAGAAAAAACACATACGTTTAGCCAAACAGACCATTCCTCTGAAAGCTATTTTGCGAACAATATATGTTTAACATTGTGGATACAGTATTTGCAGTCTGAATAATCTCATTAAATATGTTAATGCAGTTTCTAGTATCGTACAGTCTATGTGGAACGCTTCAATCGTTTCCTTCAGAAGAGTCTTTAGATGTTAGTGACATCCCACCTCCTTTACTCTTTCATCTTTTCCTCAACATTCGTAGTCAGCACTGCTACTTCAGGAGTGTTTGACTATTCTGAAAGCTGCTCTCAGTCTTACACCAGTAGCTCAGATTGTTTCTTGTTTTTAGCCTTTTATTTTGTCCTATTTTCTCCCACATCAAAAATGGTGAGCAACTTTTTGCCATTAATAACTTCTTCAGAAATAAAAAGTAATTTCCATTTGCTAGTGCATGCAAGTGGATATTTCATCTGCTGCTTCCTGTATTACTCCTTCACCCAAGACATCAAGGACAATATCTTGTGATATTAGTCAAAAGTTGTTGATAACAAGTGGTTAGACGCATTACAATTGAATTTGATAGATTCAGCTTCACATTATCCGCAAGAACTCACTTTAGCCTATTGGCATTGTAGTGGCATATGCAACAGGGTGTGAGAAAAATCATTAACTGGATTAAGGGATAGAGTTGTAGAAATTTTTACCATTCTTGCACAATGCCAAGCCCATTTTAGGCTAGCTCTGACTGGCAGCTTGTTGTGGTGCTCCCTGCTAACTCTGCGCCACAGTACTCCTCACAGCTTCTTCTCTGGTCTCTTCCTCACCTATGCTCCATTTTTACCATTCTCCCCACTTTTGGCTTCTGAGCATAGCTGCCCCTCTTAGCAACTCTTGTGTACAGGAGTCCTGTCAAGTTAGGTCTTGGTATTTCCACCATTTTCTTTTGACTGTGCTGTGCTTTCCAGACTGATTTGGTACTCAGCATTGTTTTGACACCAAACCAGTTGCTTGGACCTTGTTCCCTGAACTTCTTGCTGGCTGGATTCAGACTCGAAGAGTGAAAGTTGCTCTTCTCTGAGCCATAATAAGGCTTCACTGCAAACCTTACATTCCCTTTTCTTTCCAGTAAAAATAGAGGTAATATGAGGAAAAACATACAAATATGAAGTGAGAATAAACAGCTGGGAATGTCTACACATTGTTCAGCAGCCAGCATTGACCACTGACTTGAAGCACTTGAACACTTTGTATGTTTCAAATTTAACTCTTGCTCCTTCAAAAGAAATGATAGGAAAGGTCTAAAGCCTGTACAAATTGTCATGATGCAAGTGTCATTGTCCAAGAGAAAGGAAACTAGAAGATGCTAATTTGCATTCTGTGAAGTAGGAAGGACAGTATTTGTTGGCATATTTGAACTCTGCTGAGCTCAGCTGAAGGAGTTCAGCATTGTTTAAAGATCACCAGTATAGAAGTAGTTTCTTCTTTTGACTGTTGACATCAGCAGATGTTTCCACAGCGTGGTATGTTGGCATATCAGTCTTTTCAGCCCATCATCAGTTGTAAAACTTGTGCTTCTCAAGAACAACCAGAAGGCTGTGCTGCCATTTGAGACCTACACAGGCTAGAAAGTTGGACAGAAAAGAACCTGATAAAATTCCACAAGGGCAAGTGTAGGGTGCCGTACCTGGGAAGGAATAATCCCATACAGCCATACAGGGTAGGGGTTGACTTGCTGGAGAGTAGCTCTGTAGAGAGAGACCTTGGAGTCCTGGTGGACAACAAGTTGACCATGAGCCAGCAATATGCCCCTGTGGCCAAGAAGGCCAATGGTCTCCTGGGGTACATTAAAAAGAGCATGTCCAGCAGCTTGAGGGAGGTCATCCTCCCCCTCTACTCTGCCCTGGTGAGGCTGCATCCAGTGTATTGTGTCCAGTTCCGGGCCCCCCAGTTCAAGAAGGAGAGAGAACTACTGGAGAGACTCCAGCAGAGGGCTACAAAGATGATCAGGGGAATGGAACAACCTTTCTTGTGAGGAAAGGCTGAGACACCTGGGTCTGTTTAGCCTGGAGAAGAGAAGACTGAGAGGGGATCTCATCAATGCTTACAAATATCTAAATGGTGGGTGTCAAGAGGATGGGGTCAGGCTCTGCTCAGTGGTACCTGGTGACGGGACAAGAGGCAATGGACACAAACTGGAACACAAGAAGTTCCATCTGAACATGTGGGAAAAACTTCACTTTGAGGATGACAGAGCTGGTTGCCTTCTAGGATGAAGGTGGACAAAGGAAGAGCCATGAATTTAATGATCAATTCGGTGCAAGCATAACAGTATGTAATTACTTAATAGTCTATTATTAAACACTGCAAATTGCTGCTGTTAAAGTCAACAGGCGTGCTGTCAGTTAAGATTCTGCAAATTTTTGTGCTTGTTCTTTGCATTCTCTGTGCCATGTACCTCTTACACAGTGGGCTCCCTCCCTCAAGCTACGGGTGATACTAGGTCTACGGCACAGAGGTGTGAGTTCTTTTTGCGGTAATCCAGTATAATCGGCATTACAGAAATTAATTTAGTCACGTTCTAATTATGCCTAATGCATTATTATTTTGTTAAATATCCCATAGCAAAGAAGCTCAATGAATTAGATGCAGCAATGCTGAATAATGCTACCAGCATTTGAGAGGTTTGCAATGAGGCATGGAAGAATTAGACTGCCAAACAAGTTGAAAGTATTTCAAGTGAATGTCTGATAAGAAAAATTACTCTAAAATTGGTGGGTGCCACAACACATTTGACCATTTCACAAGTTCTTGCCTTTTATCACCAGAGGTCTCATTCTCATGGGTCACCACTGTATTTTGTCCCCTGCCACAGCTATAGATCTTTCTTATTTTCTTAGTAGCTTCTACAGCCTGACTATTTTGTAACCATTTGTTAACACAATTTGTGCTTGAGCAAAGACAAGGGTTCCTAGGGTACAAAGCACTTAGTCTGGGAATGCTGAGAGGTCCAAGAAACACTGTTAGGAGAGACTGTAAAAGCATGTAGCCAGCTGAGAAAGACACACTAAGTTTTGTTGACTTAGGGAAAAGGTAGTGTCTAGAAATGTATTCATTTCTGGAGCAAGACTCTGCTGCTTAGCCTTGGAGACAGTCGGAATCTCAAAATTGTAGAAGAAACAGACTGGGCTATATCTTTTCAGCAGCTGGGGACTTACTGCAATTAAAGGCCACTCCTCAGCAAGGAAACTGCCTGAGGTGGTGTAAAGAGCCTGTGCTCTTTGTAAGAGCTCTTACAAAGTAAGAAAGTTTGTTGGTCCTCAGGAAGAGAATGGACCCCAGTACAGTGGTACTGGACCCATTTCTAGTGATGCTGTCCTCTTTGTGGCATGTCCCACATTGCTTGAGCCAGCAATGTGCCCTTGTCACCAAGAGGGCCAATGGGATCCTGGGCTGCACAGGGAGAAGTGTGGCCAGTAGGTCGAGGGAGGTCATTCTCCCCCTCTGCTCTGCACTGGGGAGGCCACAACTGGAATACTGCATCCAGTTCTGGGCTCCCCAGTTCAAGAGGGACAGGGAACTACTGGAAAGAGTCCAGTGTAGGGCAACAAAGATGATTAAGGGATTGGAGCATCTCCCTTATGAGGAAAGGCTGAGTGTTGTGGTTTCAGCCAAAGTCACCACAACCAAACCGACAGATGGCCCTTTCCCCCCTCCCTGAAAGAGGAGAGGAAGAGATAAGGAGATTGAAAAGTTCAGAATTAACTAAACTACTTTAATGAAAAATTAATATTAAAATAAAAAAGAGAGAAGAAAATAATGAAATAGATACAATACATATACAAAACCGTATCAAGCTTCCAGGATGACAGTCCTGTCACCAGCAGGCACTGGGGAAGTCCCAGACTGGACTCAGCAATGGATGGGAACTGCATTCCAGCTCTGGAGTCAGGAACACACGGATCGGGATCAAAGGCAGATGAACTGACAGGGTCCTCTTTGGACGTCGGCCATTGCAGGAAGAGAGTTGACCCTTTGATCCCTCAGCTTTTATACTGAGCATGGGGCAGATGGGATGGAATACCCCTGCTGGTCAGGTTTGGGTCACCTGCCCTGTCCGTTCCTCCCCACAGATGTGACCCCTCTACGTTTTTCCGTTTCCAACCCTCTAAGGGGCAAATAACAAAAATTGGCTGACCTTGGTTGTTATAGCGATAAGTATAAGCAAGGGCCTCTCTGCATACCATTCCCTGGCATTTAGCACAAACATTGGTCTTATGACTCTGAGAACGAGCAGTTTTCTCCACAATATGCCATTAATTTCAGAGAGTTAGAAGAGGCCTAGCTAAAATGTAAAGTTACAGAACACAAAATTGATCTGGTTTTATCTCAAACCAGGACACTGAGAGTGCTGGGACTCTTTAGCCTGGAGAAGAGAAGGCTGAGGGGAGACCTTATTAATGCCTACAAGTATCTCAAGGGCGGATTGAGGGAGGATGGAGCCGGACTCTTTTCAGAAGTTCCCAGTGACAAGATGAGGGGCAACGGGCGCAAGCGGGAACGTTGGAAGTTCCACTCAAATATGAGGAAAAACTTCTTTACGGTGAGGGTGACAGAGCCCTGGAACAGGCTGCCCAGAGAGGTCGTGGAGTCCCAGTCAGGTCGTGCAGCCTGAGTGATGTGCTCTGGGCATTCCTGCTTTAACAGGGGAGTTGGACTAGATGATCTGTAGAGGTCCCTTCCAACTCTGACAATTCTGTGATTCCATGATAATAATTAATGAAAATATCTGAGCTGATAACTGAATAACAGAGCAAAAGTTAGGACAAAAAAAGCTGCTTGGAAGAGAAGAACACAGAAGGAATTTTTACACAGAAGGAATGGGAGATAGAGGAAGTGAGCAGCGGTGATGGTGCAGGGAAGCAAGGATCTGATTGCTGAAAGCTCATAGTGTGTAGAGAAGGGCATCCATGTGTTCCTGCTCTTCCCTGGCTAGCACTGCGGCCATGCTGTAGAAGCCTTTTCTTCCTTCACAGCAAGGTGACTGCAAGATCTTGCCTCCATGTCCTACATAGTTCCTATGGGCAGTTCTGGTTGGACACGGTCACAGAGTCCAAAAGTGGCCCCTGCTGGCTAATGTTAAACATTGAGGG